GGCAAGTGCACGTCCCGTGTCCCCCTTGCAACCTTATCGGCAAACCATCCTTGACAAGGACGGCTCGCAGAACTTGGCCTCGGTTCCTGGCAGGACCCACTGCAGAGTCCCCTGACATCTGCAAGGTCCTGCCCTTGTGTGCTGGGCGGGGTCGCAATCAGGGACCACCCGAGGGATGGGCCCGCCTCAGCCCCTGGGGGTGGGTCCCATGTCGGGCGGGTTGTTTACGCAGAGTCTCGACGCCCAGAGCATCTTCAGTCTCTGAGCTTCAGCACTCCTGTCTGTAAAGTGGAACAAGTACTGCCTAGCTCATAGCGTGGGTGTTGAGATGAACTAGGTGACAGATGTCAGTGCTCAGGACGGGGCAGGCAGAGCTGGGGACCCCCGAAGCCCTGCTACTCCGCCTCCTCACGTCTCACCATCTTTAGCCTCATATGAAGCACAAGCTTTGTGCTCCATCCTGAGACGCAAGAAGGAAGAGGCGCCTCCCGACGTGCGGAGGGCAGGGCCGCCTGGGAGGGAAAGCCCTGGGGGGCCCTGACAGACAGCTGCGCTGTGACGGGGGCCGCACAGGGTGTGCAGCTGAACTGCCTCCCCCAAACTGGATCCCTGAGCCCCAGCAGCTCAGAATGTCACTGTCTTTGAGATGCAATCTTTAAAGTGGTGATTAAGTTAAAATGAGATCATAGGGGTGGGTCCAAGTCCAGTGTAACTGACGTGAGAGTGGGACACGGACAAGACAGACAGATGGCCAGTGAGGACCGAAGGAAGGAAAGGTCGCCTGCCAGCCACAGGGAGAAGCCTCGGACGAAACCAGCCCTTGACAACGACACCGCGATCTCAGGCTTCCAGCCCCAGAACCGCAGAACACACTTCCAGGGTCTGAGCCGCCCGTCTGGGTTGTGACAGCCGGGCAGACTGACATGCGGGTTGTCAGCCCCAGGGCCCTGCTCCAGGGCCTGGGGTGGGGAGCGCAGCTGGGAACACTTACCCCCAGGTGCGCCTGTGGAACAGGTGGGAGGCATCACCACCGGGGAGACCCCAGGGCTTGTGGTGCGGGGATGGGAAGGCCAGCTCTTACCTTTCAAGCTGCCTGTTTACTATAGCTCAGGAGATATGCTCCTGGGGAAACCACGAGAGCTTCGTGCTTTAGAGGTACAGACAGAAGTGTGATTGTGGCTGTCCCCCCAAAGAAATCAAAGTTCCCCAAAACGTGGCCCCCTCCCACCCTCCCTCATGGAAACACTGCTGGGGGCCCCACTTTCCTCTGAAATCACAAACCTGGGCATCCACGGAATCCTCCAAGGGACAGGGCACCCCGCTTACCTCCCGAGTCTCGCAAGCCCGCCTCCATAAAGGGAAAGGCTGAAAACTCTGCCACCAAGAAACTAGGCCCTCAGAGTGGACGCTCCTGCCCCAGGGTGGGGGGAAGGTGACAAAGGGAAGGTCTGCCAGCTGCCCCAAACAGGCCAACAGCTGGTCAGACGGTCCCCGCGTGGGGGCCGAGAAGGCTGGTCTCATGGAAGGTCAGTGAGCTGATGACGACACTGCACTTCTCTGCCCCGGGTTTCTCACCGACCTTGGAGATGGCAGCATGTGCCAGGTCCCCTCTGAACAGGGGGCTCCGTCTGAGAACACAGCTTAGTCTCTCTTCCTGGCCGGCTCGCAGCAACCCCGAGAACCACTTTCTCAGGGAAGCCCTGCCCAGGGGCAGCAGGCCGAGGTCCCGTCTGTGTCCTTGCTGGCCGCCCAGCCCTGCCTGTGGTCCCTACCGCTGTTACCAACCCCCTCTCCTGGGAAAGCACCCACCTGCCCCCTGCCCCCAGCTGGAGCCCCAGGGCGGGGGGTGTCAGGCAGGAGGGGCGGTGGAGGAGGGGCTCTCCGCCCCTCGGGAGAGCAGGGGGCAGGGACGTCAGCACTGGTGGGGGCTGCAGACACCAGGCAGCTGAACTCACTGCCCCCAGCTCATAACGGGGGCGTCTGGGCCCGAGGAGGCCCCCAGCAGCCGGAACCGTTCGAACGTTATGTCACGCCCTGTATCCAGGGATGATGTGGGTCTAGCAACTGTGGGCTGTATTTATTTGTTTAATTTTTACTTTATTTTGGAGTTTAGTTGATTAGCAGTGTAGAAATAGAGACACGGGCATAAAGAAGAAATGTATGGACACCAAGCCAGGAAGGGAGGGTGGGATGAATTGGGAGACTTGAGAGGTTCGGACTGACGCACACACCCTGTTGACACCACGTGCAAAATAGACAACTACCAAGAGACAGCTCCCTGCATGGCACGGGAGTCGGGTTCAGGGCTCCGCGGCGACCTCAGTGGGAAGGAGGTCAGAGCAGGAGGGAGACGTGGAAACGCACAGCTGGCTCACGGGGCAGCAGACACACACAGCCCTGTGGATAAACTAGACGCCAACCAAAGTTAATAAGAGAAAACAAGAAAAAATAATGTGCTAGTTTCAGGTATACGCAGAGTGATATGTATGTATATGGGCTTCCCTTGCATCTCAGTTGGTCAAGAATCTGCCTCCAACGCAAGAGACTCAGGTTTGATTCCTGGGTCGAACCCCTGGAGGAGGCCATGGCAACCCACTCCAGTATTCTCGCCTGGAGACTCCCACGGACAGAGGAGGCTGGCAGGCTACACAGTCCAAGGGGTTGCAAGAGTCGGGCACGACTTAACTACTAAACCACCACCTTATATATATATACATATGTAGACATGTATATACACACACGTGGAATCTTTTTCTTATTACATTTCACGGGACTGGACCACTTATTCCCTTAAACGAGCAGAAATGAGACTGTCACAGCCACACCCAGCACGATGCCGCCGTCCTCAGGACTCCCTGTCCTAACACCTGCCGTGGGGATCACACAGCAAGCAGCCTCTGTTCAGTGTTTCGTTCGGGGCTTGGCCTCCAGGCTCTTTACCAAGGAGACCCACGGCCATCCTCGGGGGAAGATGTAATGTCAGCACCCGTGTCTCCATGACATGTGCACATGGCCCCGTGGATGACGTCATCGGGTGCCGTGGGAGGGCTTTGTCCGGTCTGACCCTGACGCTCCGTCCAAGAGACACACCCAACTCACCCAGAAACCACAAAGCAGTGGGCGCGGGGTGGAAAGCTGAAGCTGTAACTTAAGGTCGGGTGTAATAACACCTATAATAACAGGTGTAATAAAAGCCGTTATGGTAGACGGGGCAGGCTCCAAACCAGTGACTCCGGTTGTCCAAACAAAAGAAGCCATTTTCCAGGCTTTCTTTTGCCCGAACGACGTTAAGATTTTCTTTCCACTTTTCCCTGCTATGCTTTCAGACTTAGACACCATCTCTACTGCACCGTGCTAGAACCAGACCATTTTTAAAATTAATTTTTAATAATGTGTAATAATCTGAGTGGCCCTGGTCTGTGTGCAGAATTAGAATTCCTCTGATAGAAAAAGAAATATTTGTGCAGAGTTTTATGAGCAGAGTTGACCTGAGGCTTCCCGAGGCTGGTGCAGAAATTGCCGCTCAGGCGGCTGTTAACCCTTCCCTGCTCGGGCAGCCTTCGGCTCGGCTTCCCCAGGCTCGGCCAGAGCATCCAGCCGCTGCAGTTTTATTAGATGACGCAGACTGCAGGAAGAGCCTCCTAGATATTAAGAGAGGCTCTGAAATTGAACCTGGGCTTTATTTAAAAATGCCCAGAGACCGTGAGGTCACAGGTCAACCCTGACATCCCAATAGGCACAGAACCTCACCTGCGGCAGAGACCAAGAACCGATGTGTGGGTTCTCTGCTCCGACGGCAGGAGGCCAGGAGCTGGTGGCGGGTCGCACCTGTGCCCGGTCCTGGAGACATCTGTCTGGGGCCTGTCACTGAGGACAGGGGGAGGGGGTCCTCGTAATGGGGGTCATTACAGCATCAGGCATGAGGTCGGGGGTCCCACCTCTTCTGAGAGGGGTCCGGATCACAGGTGTTCATGAGGGTTAGGAAGAAGGCTTATGGTCCCCTGAAATAAACAGCAGCAGGAACCCGGCCGCTGTCACTGGCGTGTTAATCTCCTAGACCTTTCTGTCCAGGGGAACATCTTGTCCTAGTGATGGGCTGACGCCCGTCTCCCTGCCCTCGATCTGATTGTAATTATGCTTTTATGACTTCCAGTGACTCCAAAACACTGAAGGTTCGGCTTCAAAGCTATTCTTCTTAAAACCAGGTTGAAAATAGATTCGTTTCCAGCCCCCATTCCCTAAGGGGAAAACCAGACCCAAAACCGCAGCTATGAAGTTTTGAAGGAGCTGCTGAAGGCGATTTGTTCTCTCCCGTCAGTCCTGTAACCAAGGTCCCTCTGGGCTGCAGCGTCCTTTCCTGGCGTGAACTATTTCAATATGACAATCGTGGAACAGTGTTTGGGTTATTAAACAGAACACACAGTTTGCTGAAAGTCTGAAACAAAAGTGAACCCTTAAGTGACCTTTGAAAGCATCTGCTGATTTTTAATCTGCGTTTTGGAGCAGATCCTACAAAAATTTTTGCTAACCAACAATTTAAAGTGATTCCAATTTATCTTGTTGGCCCACAATGACCAGCTATTTTAAATCAGTGGCTGTTTCTCATCAGACATAAGCACAGGTGACTATGGAACCTGGGGGGCTTGCTTATTTCAGCAGGGAGACGCCCTGAGCTCAGCCCACTGTTCTGAGCACCTGAGACAGCCCCGCACCCACCTCTTGGGAGCCCTGCCAGGCACACGTGGGGACCCCCAGCGTCCTGGAGCCACACGGAGGGCCCCCTCACACGCCCAGCCCTCAGAAGCGTAAACTGCAGGCCGACCCTCGGCAGAGCTGTGGGTCCAGCCTCCTGATGTCCACCCTCCGATGCTCGTCCTGGACACAGCTCCCACACCCCAGGCCTTGAACTTGCTGGAGCGGCAGGACCTTGGGAGCACTGTAACGCGGGGGGACACCAGGCCCTGCCATCCTCCAGCCTCTAGCTGGGGAGAGAAACGGTGATGAGACATTTCACACTGCACATGACCCCACGCACAACCTCCCCTGCTGTTGTCTGCAAGACCCGGGAGTTCTCAGTGGTAGCGAGGTCTCGCTTCTCCTGCGACCACCGCAAAGTCCCAGCAGTGCAGGGGGAGCCCAAGCTGGTCCGGGGGCTGCGCGCCCCACCCAGAGGCCTCTCAGGAGGCCCCCTGTGGTCCCTGCATCCTGACGCCGCCTCCCAGCGCATCCGTTCAGCTGGGCTCTCGTCCCGGCACCTGAACCAGCGCTCTCACAAACTCTGCTCTGCCTCCCTCGGGGGACTGTTGGATACCGCCTCCCTTGACGGTCCACCAGCCCTGGCAGAGACCTCGGCTGGGGCTCCAGCACAGGCTGCCCTCCGGGGAAAGCCTTCACTCCCTGCCTGTGACCCCTTGTTGGTCTCCAGCTCCACAGACTGGGCCGAGCCTGGGGAGGGGCCGGGCAGCGTCTGGGGGACAGCGTGTCGTGGGGACGCCCCAGTTCGGGGGCTGGAAGGTAGCAGAGTGGCCTGGCCGCTGAGAACAGCACAGCCAGAGCACCAACACGGACCCAGCGACGGCACCTCCCAGAGCCCCTTCCCACCCCTCCCCTCCCCAGGCTCCCTGCCCCACCACCCAGCAGTACCAGAGCTGGTGGGCGGGAGGGTCTCTGCGAGGGCCAGTGGGCCTTCTCGGGGGAGGTACCAGACAGCACGCCGCAGGAGGCAGCCAGGAGGGTTTATGAGAGTTCAGGCAGGTGGTCGTGCCGCCATGGACCCCCCGGCTGAAGGCAGGGGAGGGTGGTCCCCAGGAGACAGAGGAACACGGGAGAGCCACGTGGCCCCTGACTGCAGCCAGCCTGGACAGCCCTGCTGGGAGCAGTGAAGACTGGCCTCTCTCTCCTCCGCCCTCCAGTCTCTCCTGACTCCTTACTGGCCAAACCCCATGGGAAGCAGCCTCCCGAATCTCCAGGCAGGTGCAGAGCATGGGAGGGGGCGGGCAAGTGGGAAACAGCTGCTCTAGGGACCTTTCTCCCCCAGCTGGCGGAGAGAGACACCAGGAATGACGAGGAAGTGCAAGAGATTGTTAATCACTCTGTTGTGTCCGACTCTTTGCGACCCCATGGACTTTAGCCCGCCTGGCTCCTCTGTCCATGGGGTTCTCCAGGCCAGAATACTGGAGTGGGTAACTGTTTCCTTCTTGGGGATCTTCCCAACCCAGGGATTGAACCTGGGCCTCCTGCACTGCGGGCAGATTCTTTACCATCTAGCCACCGGGGAAGAACAGCTGGGTATGCTTTCCTTTACTGAACTTCCAAACTTGATGCAGTCTTTGAAATGTCTGTTTAAAAGGTTTTATGACCACCCAAAGCTTATTATTTTTTAGCTAAAACATACTACAGTCAAGGGGCCTGCTGCAAGGGGGCAGAGCCACCATATGTGAACAGCACTGGGCTCCAATGTGGGGACCCAAGCCAGGCACATGGGTCTCACGGACCCACATCCAAACCCAGATTTGTCCTCCCAGAGACCTCTGTGCCCCTGAAAATGATCTGTGTCTCAGTCTGTACACCGTCTAAAGTGAAGCCAAAATCCCACAGAAACAAGGGGCCCCATACCCTTTCTTGGAGCAAGGAGCTCATCAGGAATGAAGAGCACTGGATTGAAAAATGATTACTTTAAATCACCTCCCCTCCACCTCCATGAGCTAAATATACACACACCCTACCAGAGACTCACGGGATAAAACTGAAGCAGACCTAGATGCCCATCAGCAGATGAATGGATGAGGAAGCTGTGGTACATATACACCATGGAATATTACTCAGCCATTAAAAAGAATTCATTTGAATCAGTTCTAATGAGATGGATGAAACTGGAGCCCATTATACAGAGCGAAGTAAGCCAGAAAGATAAAGACCATTACAGTATACTAACACATATATATGGAATTTAGAAAGATGGTAACGATAACTCTATGTGCAAAACAGAAAAAGAGACTCCTATGTATAGAACAGACTTGTGGACTCTGGGAGAAGGCGAGGGTGGGATGTTTCAAGAAAACAGCATTGAAACACGTATATTATCTAGGGTGAAACAGTTCACCAGCCCAGGTTGGGTGCATGAGACAAGTGCTCGGGCCTGGTGCACTGGGAAGACCCAGAGGGATCGGGTGGAGAGGGAGGTGGGAGGGGGGACCGGGATGGGGAATACATGTAAAAAAAAAAAAAAAAAAGATACACTATGGTTGTGATAAAAAAAATAAATAAATAAATAAAAAATAAAAAATAAAAAAAATAAAAAAAACTGAAGCAGAGCTCCCATTGCCAGGACCTCTTCTGTTCTGGCTTTTGTTGCTGTTTCCTCATCGCCAGCACTGAGTGTCTGAGGCTCTGCTCTGGGTCAGACACATTGCCAGGGTGCCAGCCGGCGAGCGTCTCGGCCCCAGCGGAAGAGCTGACCTCCAGAACTCGGCACACCCACGTGCCCAGCTCCCGATTTATGCATCTCTCGTGGGATTAGCAGCAACACCTTGTGGTCTGGGGAAGATGAAGTGAATGTACCAGGTACAGCCTGACAAAGCTAACACTTCAAAAAGACTAGTAGCTGCAGGCAAAAAATGTTAGCAGAACCCAAATCTTCTGATTTTTAACCCATGCATCTAATAATATTAACTCTTCTTTATAATATATAAAGTGTTGTATACTTCATTTAAGTGCAAGTAAGTAATTATCTAATTTAAAAAAAAAATCAAAGAGACACAAATGTTCATGCCAGAAGAGGGACCCAAGAGAATATTGACTTTCTTTTATTTGTAGAAGGTTTGAACATTGTAAATTTACTTACACAGTCCCCATAAACCTAAATTGTTAAGGAAAAAGGAAAAGGAAATGGCTTTCTATAGATGTGAAAGCATATTTAAGTGTATATTTTACCTTGCAAGAATGTGACATTTCAAAGTAGAACTTACATATTATAAAATATTTAATACTTGAATACTAACTTTTCCAAAAACTTCCACTATCAACCTTTCTTATTTACGATAAGAAACAACTTTCCTTAAAGAAACAACAGTGAAGCCTTAAGCTGAAAATTAAAGGGCCATCAGTGGAGTTAGGCCAGGTACGGCTGACCCAGAAGTTCCTTCTAGCTGCGTGCAGAGTGTGATTTAACAAGGAAACGATGGCAACGTGAATCTAAATCCAATGAGTTTCTACCCCTCTCACCACCTCCAGTGTTGGTTTTGCCACTTTGGAGTCTTTCTGACCGGGAATCAGGTGGGAAAATTCCAGATTCTCAGAGCCAGCGAGGAGAGCGCACACTTGCAGGTTAGGTTGGGGTCAGGTCTGGGGACTTTTATTTTTTTTATTTTTTATTTAAATTTAATTAATTTAATTTTTTATCATTTACTTTTATTAGTTGGAGGCTAATTACTTTACAATATTGTAGTGGTTTTTGCCATACATTGACATGAATCAGCCATGGATTTACATGTGTTCCCCATCCTGAACCCCCTCCCACCTCCCTCTCCACCTGATCCCTCTGGGTCTTCCCAGTGCACCAGCCCTGAGCACTTGTCTCATGCATCCAACCTGGGCTGGTGATGTGTTTCACACTTGATAGTATACTTGTTTCAGTGCTATTCTCTCAGATCATCCCACCCTCACCTTCTCCCACTGAGTCCAAAAGTCTGTTCTATACATCTGTGTCTCTTTTTCTGTTTTGCATATAGGGTTATCGTTACCATCTTTCTAAATTCCATATATATGTGTTAGTATACTGTAATGGTCTTTATCTTTCTGGCTTACTTCGCTCTGTATAATGGGCTCCAGTTTCATCCATCTCATTAGAACTGATTCAAATGAATTCTTTTTAACGGCTGAGTAATATTCCATGGTGTATATGTACCATAGCTTTCTTATCCATTCATCTGCTGATGGGCATCTAGGTTTCTTCCATGTCCTGGCTATTATAAACAGTGCTGTGATGAACACTGGGGTGCACGTGTCTCTTTCAGATCTGGTTTCCTCGGTGTGTATGCCCAGCAGTGGGATTTCTGGGTCATATGGCAGTTCTATTTCCAGTTTTTTAAGGAATCTCCACACTGTTCTCCATAGTGGCTGTACTAGTTTGCATTCCCTCCAACAGTGTAAGAGGGTTCCCTTTTCTCCACACCCTCTCCAGCATTTATTGCTTGTAGACTTTTGGATAGCAGCCATCCTGACTGGCGTGTAATGGTACCTCATTGTGGTTTTGATTTGCATTTCTCTGATAATGAGTGATGTTGAGCATCTTCTCATGTGTTTGTTAGCCATCTGTATGTCTTCTTTGGAGAAATGTCTGTTTGATTCTTTGGCCCATTTTTTGATTTGGTCGTTTATTTTTCTGGAATTGAGCTGCAGGAGTTGCTTGTATATTTTTTAGATTAATCCTTTGTTGCTTCGTTTGCTATTATTTTCTCCCAATCTGAAGGCTGTCTTTTCACCTTGCATATAGTTTCCTTTGTTGTGCAAAAGTTTTTAAGTTTAATTAGGGCCTATTTGTTTATTTTTGCTTTTATTTCCAATATTCTGGGAGGTGGGTCACAGAGGATCCTGCTGTGATTTATGTCAGAGGGTGTTTTGCCTATGTTCTCCTCTAGGAGTTTTATAGTTTCTGGTCTTATATTTAGATCTTTAATCCATTTTGAGTTTATTTTTGTGTATGGTGTTAGAAAGTGTTCTAGTTTCCTTCTTTTACAAGTGGTTGACCAGTTTTCCCAGCACCACTTGTTAAAGAGGTTGTCTTTTTTCCATTGGGGACTTTTAACCAGTGTTTCTAAGTGGGGCAATCGGGTTCCTCCAGAAATATTCTCCATCACTGCCCGTTGTAATAGTGGGCCGGAAACGAAGGGAACACACCGCGCTCCAGGCTCCTCCCAGTGGCCGAGTGACCTGCAGAGGAGATGGGGTGCAGAGAAGACACCCAGCAGCTGGGTGACCTCTGTCGCCGGGGGAGAAGGCGCCCAGCGGTGGGAAACAGAGACACCTGCTGGCCGGCTGCGCCCTGGGCCCCGCTCCCGGCTCCTTGGCCCCGCAGACCTGGCTGTTCTGAGCTGTCCCCGGGCTAGGATGGGAGCGTGGCATCCTGCAGACTCCCGTGCACACAGGCTGCTCTGAAATCCACAGGACAGAGTGAGTTCCCCCAAACCTCCACTCGGGGAGTCCAGCGCGTCCCTGGGGACCGGCAGACAGCGCCCACCGAGCAACGGCCCGGATCCCGCCTGCTCTTGCTGTTTCTGTGCATGTGCGTCTCCTCCACGGAGGTCTTGCGGCCACGGGGCACCCCAGTGTCTGCAGAGTTGCTTCGTGAGTGCGGAGGCCGGGCTGGGTTCTGTGTCTCCAGGGGAGGGGGTGAAATGCCACTCCCAGGGGTGTGGGCAGGGGGCTGAAGTCCACACTCTCTGGGGAAGCGGCTGTGCCTCCAGCCCCTCCGTCGGTCCGCTCCGCACCACCCAGGGCCCCCCGGCACGGCAGGG